TGCCCTCTTTTAAGAGACCTGGATTTATTTTTATGTAATGTCCTATATTCATGACCATATCTCTTCTTAATACAACTCGTCACCCTTGAAAGAGTATGTTGGTAGTGTGTAATCAAACTCAGTTTCACAGATCATACTGCTATATTTATGCCCCCAATGTCTTATATATCTATTTTTGTTAGTTCTGAGCGTGCCCGTTTTTCCCACTAGATTGAGAGCTAAACACCAAGATCTTGGGTGTTTTATGTGCCTTCATGTTTAAGGCTTCTCACAGTGACTGGAAAAATCCAAGCTGAAATGCACTAAATTCCCTGCTCAAACACCTACAGGCACAGGACAAGGACCAGAACCCAGATCGCTTGATTCTTTAGTGTGTTTCCAACTGTTCCCATGTCCCGTTTCTCAGTAGGGAAACCCACAGTAAACGATAAGGAAACGAAAATAAGGCAGGCAGGATCATTACCATTACCCATTAAGTTTTCCTCGTCCTTTCACCGACCCAGAAAGGGTAGATGGACTAAGCTATAGGACTTCTCAACTTGGCGCGAACACACCCGCTTTCGCCGCACCCAATCTGCAACAAGCTACCGGGTTCTACACTTCCCGGCGCCCCCTCCTGCAGCATCTCCGTCGTACGTGCATACGCCACCCTTGACCTTACCCCCACCTCCACACCTGCAGTGACGCCCCTTCCGCTAAATTCGTTCCTCTTTCTTGCAGCGCCTGCGTGCTGTCATATTACGGCGGAACTAATATGGCGGCGCCTGCGCTTTGACGCGTTTGGTGCCCGGGTAGGAAAAAGGGGGACGGCAGAACGCGTCACACCCGGAAGCGGAGAGCCGGAAGTGGGGTTGGACAGGTTATCCCCAGGGGTGGGGAAACGGAGGCCCAGGAGGAAGGGGGAAAGAGAAGGCGGAAGATCCTGGCTGCTACTCTACCGCTTGTCTTAGACCTCAGAGACACAGAAAAAGGGAAGGGTGTCTCATCCCCTTCCTCCTCTCCTCTCTCTCCTCAGCCTTAGCCATGGCCGAGGCAGGGGCCGGGCTGAGTGAGACCGTCACTGAGACAACGGTTACCGTGACAACCGAGCCCGTGAGAAAGGCTGGGGGTGGTGCTGTTTAGGGGTCTGGGAGTTACTGGGAGGGAGGGCACAGGGTTTAGGAGAGTTACTGGAGGGTCTGGGCCTGGGGATATGGGAGATGTGTGGTTGAATATCGGGCTGGAAGAATGACAAGGTATTGGAGCAGTTTGGTGTAGCAGTGATGGTTCAGGCGACTTGTCGAGGGACATAATAAGCAGTTACAGTTAGGATATAAGTATTGCTACTTGGGGAAGAGTGTGTATAAGTAATAAACGAATGGGAAATTGGGGATTAAAGAGCAAGAAAAGTGTTGGGAGGAAATGCAAGGCCATGTGAGAAAGTATGGTTGGAGGTCAGCTTATCAATATTAGCAATGCTTATCAATAAGTATTTGTTGAATGGATGAAGGTAGGGGAAGTGAAGGGAATGAGGAAACAAGAAAAGGACATGAAGATAAAATTTTGAAAAATCAGGGGAGATATAAATGAAGAAACAAGTAGCATTCTTGCAAAAACAGGTTATTTTCCAAGGGAAAAAGCTGCACTGGGCTTAATAACCTCTGGATTAAGGGCGTTTAGTAATAGTCATTACTAGGGATATCAGGATGCTAGAGAATGTGTGGATAAAAGATAGGGAAGAGCTGGACTTGAGAATGAGAGAGGTAAGGTGGAGGTCTTCTTTTAATGGGAAAAAGAATAGGAACCTGGAAAAATAAAAGGAGATCAAGTATTAGGCACTGGAGACTGAAAAAAATAATTTTCATGTGTTAATACTACCAAGGATGATTTGGGGAGGAAGACGGAGAAACAGCGAGGATTATATTTTCCTTTGAAGATTTGCTGGGACCTTCCCTAGGTTAGGAATTGTGTCTTCTCTATATACTGGTGGTTATCAAGAACAGGAAATCCCCTCAGATTTCCCGAGGTCTAAGACCTGTTCTATTTTATTTTTTTTCAGCACTCAGCTTCTCTGGTGCTATGTATTGATTGAGCTGGGGATGAGAAGAGGGGGGGAGTGGGAAAGGTCAGTAGAATGGTACTAGACAAGTATGCCCATCCCTTTTAACTTTCTAGGAAAATCGGAGCCTAACCATCAAACTTCGGAAACGGAAGCCAGAGAAAAAGGTGGAATGGACGAGTGACACTGTAGACAATGAACACATGGGGCGCCGCTCATCAAAATGTGAGTAATTATTGCCCCACAATAGCCCTGGATTTCTGGCTAACTTCTGCATATCTTCTGCCTTTTCCCAGAAGCCCCTGGATGCTGATGTTTCTGTCACTTTCTTGATGGTTGTCTGACATCAGGGGCAGGAGGTTAAGGTTAAAGGGAAAGAGGGAAGGAAAGGCTAGGACTGTAGTGTGTCAAGCCCTGACAGCCAGTAGTGTCAGTGGTGGAAGAAGTGGGACTTTGGATTCCTGGATTTCTAAATGGACAAGGAACATAGATGCCCAAGTCCCAAAGGGGTGGATCTGGGGAAGCCGGATCCTAGAAGTTATGAGGAGACAATGGTAAAAGTAGGAATTTTCATGAGATTGAAGGGGAATGGAACTGACTATACATCTTACTCTTCCTCCTTTTTAACTGAGCTCCTCCCTCCAAATCCAGGCTGCTGTATTTATGAGAAACCTCGGGCCTTTGGAGAGAGCTCCACGGAGAGTGATGAGGAGGAAGAGGAGGGCTGTGGTCATACACACTGTGTACGAGGCCACCGCAAAGGACGGCGTCATGCAACCCTTGGACCAACCCCCACCACACCTCCCCAGCCTCCTGATCCTTCTCAGCCCCCTCCAGGGCCAATGCAGCACTAAATTCCTCTCTCCCCTACTATTCCTGTGTCTGTCTGGCCCTGAATGTATCCATTTGGCTACTTGGGGACTAAACCTATGGTTTGATCCCTTCTCCAGCCCCCTCTTTCCCTCTGCTCTGCCTGATAGAGGGAAGAAGAAGAGGATCCTGGAATTCTGACTTGCTGCTATTCCAGAACCCAGGCTCCTGGGTACCCCTAGTCCTCATTTCTCCTCCCAGTACCCACCCTCCTCTCTCCAGGGATCCAGGCATCTTGGTCCCAGTCTCTTCCTTTTGTTCTCACTGCCAAACTGCCTGTCCTGGGATCTAGTTATCTTGGCCCCTGCACCTCACATGAGTAGAAGACACTTAATTTGGGTTTTCACTAGTCCCAGCTTTCACTGCCAGGGTCCCAGTCAGATTCCAGGCAACCTCACCCCAGCTATGCTTGTTAATCCTGGTTTAGAGCTCTTCCACTAAAGTATTTATATAATCCTAATTCTTAGTCCTTGCCTATGGGATAGGAGATCTTACGGGAGACCCAGGATTCCCAGTTCTTACCGTCCTGCCTACCCACCTCATGCCTTCAAGAGGAGTTAGGAAAGAGATGTCTTTGTCATTATCACCTAATAGAAAACAGAATGAGAGATAGTCATATGTTCTCCCATCCTTCTTATGTTATATAGGATTTATGACAAAACTGGCTTGAGACTGTTCAGTTAGAGCCAACTATCTCCTCAGATTTGATCTTTCAGCTTCAAAGACAAATCCAGTGTAGTCCCAGGGACCTGAGTCCCTAAGAGAGAAAGGAAAAGGGAGAGAGCAAAGGGATGGGGTATCCCCTACACTGCACTCTTACCCCTTCACTCCTAAGGTTTGATGTCTCAGCCAGCCCAGATGTTCAGCTCTCTCACCCTTCCCCAACCCTTAGTGGGATCTGGTGGTTATTTTCCAGTCCTCTTCCCATACACGGTTGCAGAGATCAGTCAAATCCATACCACCAGTGAGATCTCATTTATTGCCACAGATGCACAAAATAAATAACCCAACGTCACAAAATGTGTTAAATATGGGCCCATTTATACATATGGGGAAAGTAAGAGACTATACAAGGATGAGTTTGGGAATGTCTAAGCCATTCCCAGGTTGAGGAGAGAAGAGGTAGCACCATTGGTTCCTTTGTCTGAGTAAATGCAGGGAGTTTTATGGGAAAGGCTGTGAGCATAAAAAGTAGTCACAGGAGAGGGTAAAGTAAAACTGGCTTGACCCTCCCTGCCCCCCACTGAAAGGGGTATTAGTTTTCCTAGAGGGCCATAAAAAACAGGTCAGAATCAAGCCTCTTGTTTTAAGAAGAGTCTCTTGTTTCTTTCTTTTTTTTTTTTAGAGACAGAGTCTCACCTTATTGCCCTCAGCAGAGTGCCATGATGTCACAGCTCACAGCAACCTCCAGCTCTTGGGCTTAGGCAATTCTCTTGCCTCAGCCTTCCAAGTAGCTGGGACTACAGGTGCCCGCCACAATGCCCGGCTATTTTCTGTTGCAGTTTGGCTGGGGCTGGGTTTGAACCTGCCATCCTTGGTATATGGGGCCGACACTCTATTCACTGAGCCACAGGGGCCTCCTGAGTCTCTTGTTTCTCTTGAGGAGAAACCTCAGAGTGGTTAGGGCAGGGAAGCCCAAGCTTTAGGACAGTGGAGAAGGCCCTGAGCCCTTCTTGGAGCTAGCACAGGCAAGAGTGGGACAGAAATATTTGACTAGCAGGGCCTCTGTGTAGTGAACACTTTACCAGTACTAGTGGGGTACAGCCTTTTCCCCAATTCAGGCCTGGAATAGAATAGAAGGGAAGAAATTAGGTGGGAAGTACTGGGGTAACAGTGGGGGAGAAAAGATTTTGGTATGGGAGGGAGGAAGGAATGGGTTTGGCTTTGGGCATGGATGTGGAAACCTGGACCTAGTAGAGGTCTTACTAATGTGTGTGGGGGGGGAGGGAATAAGACGGAGAAGAGAGATGTGGTTTGGTGTGAGGTGCTTATCAATACTACCACAGTGAGTTTGCAGGCACGATTCCTGCAATGACTTCCTGCGCCTAAGAGGTGCCCAGGCCAAACTAGGATGGGGGGTTAGGAGCGAAACTCAGCCTTCGGCTGGCACAATGCGCAGCGGGGCACGGGGATCACGGGTGCAGAACAGAGGGAATATGCGCTCCCCCAGGGGACCGGGTGCCTGGAAGGCGAAGAGGAGGTCCAGTGAGCGGCCGTCGTAGAAGGCCACTCGGCCCCGCTCCCAATCCAAGTCCACGCGAATGCGCCGCGGTGGGGGCCTGGCACCGCCCAGCAGGGTGGGCTCGGGTGCGGTGAGGGCCCAGAGACGGCCACCACGGCCCTCCACAGCCCACACGGCCCCCGCAGGGCACAGCTTCACGCGACCTTTGCGTTGCACTGACTCCCCTGCCGCCCCTACAGCATAGCGGCTCTCCCCGTCGTCCTCATCCTCTCCAGAAGAATCTGTGCAGCAGGTGGTGTCCGTGGTCTCCACCTCCCAGCAGTGGCGGCCAGCACCAAAACCCTGTGCGCCCAGCACAGCGGGGAGCTGGTCAAAGCGTGTAGGGCCATCAGGAGGTGTGGGTGTCCCGGGTGGGGCCACTCGGACGCTGCGGCAGTCCGCAGAGATGAGCAGGTGGCGGTGTGCGGTGCCAGGGTCCAGGGTCAGGTCAGCTGGGGAGGGGGAAGTAGGAAGAGGACCGCGTCGGAGGCGTTTCAGAATCAGAGGCGGGGTAAGGTAGAGGATGGGTAGCGGAGGGCATGGAGGGTAAGTAAGAGATTAAGAGTGCTAGTGACCTCATAGCAGTTCAAAAGGCAGCTGCAGGACAAAAAGGGAGGAAGACTATGAAGACCAGACCTAGGCAATATTGAAACTGTGCACTAATGTGTCACATCTATAGAATTGTATTTGGGAAGGACCATGCTGGCTTAGGGCAGGGGGCACAACTCAGAGATCAAAGGAAAGGTCTGGTTTGTGTGGTTGGGAAAGGAAGTGAGGCTGATCTGACTTCTAGGGAGGAGTGAGGACTGATACTCTCAATTTACAGCACCTGGGGTGGGGCGTGGGAGCTGGGTCAGCAGAATGGGGAACGTGGCTCTAAAGAGAAAGACTGATACCTGCTACTGAAACCCCAGGTGACAGAGGGGAGGGGCAAAGGGAGGAATCCAGGGTATGCTGAGAAACCAGCCCACCCACCCACAGAAATAAGTGGGTGTGGACAGGCCTACTTCTACAGGCGGTGTGGGGCAAGGAGGAAAGAGCCGGTGGTGATAGCTAGAGACCAGAAAGAACCTTTGGCCTTATCTCTATGGGGTGCTTTCAGGAAAGATTTCTGGATTAGAGGTGCTAGAAGCAATCCGGATTGGATGGGATTGGTGAGTGACCAAGAAGGTAGACCATCTTCTCTAGGCAGTTTATTTTGTTTGTTTGTTTGAGACAGAGTCTCACTTTGTCAACTTCAGTAAAGTGCTGTCATGTCATAGCTCACAGCAACCTCAAATTCTTGGGCTTAAGTGCTCCCCTCGCCTCAGCCTCCCAAGTAGCTGGGACCAGGTGCCTACCACAACACCCAGCTATTTTTTTTAGAGATGGGGTCTCGCTCTGGCTCAGGCGGTCTCCACCCGCCTTGGCCTCCCAGAGTGCTAGGATTACAGGTGTGAGCCACCATGTCGAGCCTTCTCTAGGCAGTTTAAAGAAGGATAGAGGGTATCCTTCTTTTTGCATGTAAGCAAGCAAGGAAGGAAAGGGCAGGGAGATGCTGGGGGTCCAGCTCCCTTCTGGAGAGAAATGATGAGAGGGGTAATGGAAGCAGAGATTCCTGAGAGGCAACTGACCTCCAGGAACCTATTGTTCATATGAAAAAAGAAGAGAGAACATGGCTGGAATATGAGGAATTGAGGGTAGACATTATTAGAGGTTGAATTGTATCCCCCCCATGAAACAAATAATATGTTGAAGACCTAGCCTAATACCTCAGAATGTGACCTTATTTGTAAAAAGGATCTTTACAGGGGCAATCAAGTTAAAATGAGGTAATTTGGTTAGACTCAATCCAGGATGATTGCTGACTTATTAAAGGGAAGTTTGGACACAGCCGAAAGCATACACAAGGAAGACAATATGTGGACCACCTCTAACTCAAGAAACATGTGAAACTACCAGAAGCCAGGAGAGGGGCATGGAACAAATTTTCTCTCATGGCCCTCAGAAGGAACCACACTGCTGACACCTTGATCTCGGAATTCTACCTCCAGAACTTTGAGATAATAACTGTTGCTGAAGCCACCTACTTTGTTACACAGCATTCTTTGGAAAGGACTTGATCATTTTCGAAACCTAAAAGGAAGAATACCTAACACAGATTCTGATTCAGTTCCCTCCCTTCTTCTCTCCTTACCTGTCAGTCTATGAAGCATGTTTTTGACCACTGGGTAATCTTCAGGAAGACCATCCTCTGAGTTAGATGATTTGGGTGTTGGGACATCAAATCTAGAGAGAAATCAGTAGATAGTAGATAGCCCTCTGCGCTCTCTGATGCTTATGTCCCCACCACTACCCCACTCACATCTCTGAAGCAGGAAGCACTAAGGCCACACCCTAGAAAACCTGCCTGTGACTGGGAACAAATATGGGGCCCCAGTGGGAAAGTGATGGCTATAGTAGCTGGCAATGAAAAGAAAGGAATAGTAACAATAGAACTCACCGCCTCCATGTCTTCCTTATATCCTGAGTTGGGCAGAAAAAAAACATGATATGAGCTCTCAGCTTCATACTGTGGGATGCCTTCACCCACCTTCTCAGGTGAGCTCCTTCCGAGTTCATGATGTCTCGCACCACCTCTCAGCATGATCTCACCTCCACATCCCCTGTGTTCCTTTCCCCTCTCATCTACCTTCCCCTTTCATGACCCATCCTTCCTTTCCAGACCTACTTTTTCCTCATCCTCTTAACTTCACCTCCACTACCATCTTCTCTCCATTTCCTAGGGGTTCTCAATTTCCCTTCCCCAACCTCACCCATGCCTTTCGCAGAGTACTTGCCTTCCTCTGCTGCTTCCTCAGCCCTTCTTCAGGGACCCCACCCTTTATCCTTACCCTCATTCTTGAGTGTAGCCCAGACAAATGTCTGTCCTCTTTCACATACACACCCCCCAACACACAAACCAAACGCACACCCAGAGCCTTTGGACAAAGAGTTAGTATATAAAAGCCTTACAATAAAACCGCTTCCCCTCTTGCCGTAAAAGCCTGGTGGCGTTTATAGGGCTCTTTGCTTTATATCTCTCTAGCCAGGCCATTGAGGCAGCTGGACTCGCGTGTGTCCCAAGAGGTGCAACAAACCCGCGGGGATGCCACAGAAGCCAGGAGAGGGCGCTCGATGGTCCCCGTCCCCCCGCCCCCGACTCCTCCACTTCACTGTCCAGTGCTGAGGGCTGGAGTAGGCCAGTATGGTAGTGAGGGGTAGAGGAGAAAGACAATTTACCTAATTATGCCAATTACACCTGTACTAATTAGGTCTATGAAGACTTCAAAAGGGCGGAAGCAAGACCCAAGACCGGCTTGGCTGCTGGGGAGAAGCCAGTTGGTGTTCCAGACGCCTGGGGGTCGGGTAAGGGAAAGGGGTTGGCCAAGGAGCCTGGGCCCAGGAGAGGCACGTGTAGGTGGGTGATAAAGCTGGCACGTAAGGAGGAACCAGAAGCCCCAATGGCTGTTCTCCCGACCTTGCTTCCGTCCGTCGCGCCCTTGCTTGGGGCCTTGGGAGGAGCCAATAATAACAATAACAAACTACACACAGCTCAGCTAGAGCCTGAGTCTGGGGACCGACCCCACGACGCTACAGGGGTGTTTGGATCTGCTCCCCACTTCCTTCCTGCATCCTTTGGTCAGTCCCTTCCTTCTCTACCGTCACCACCCCCGCCAGTCTCCTGCTCCCACTCCGCTCTGCTAGTTCTTACCTCCCTCACCCTCCAGCCCGGCCCCCAGCTCGCCCTTGCCCCGATCGGCTTCCCTTTCCACCCACCAGTTCCCTCCCCTCCACCAGCTGTCTTGGTGCCGGGCGCCCAGCCACTGCCCTGCCAGAACTTCCGCAGTTCCCGCGCTCTCCTAGGGGTTTCCGGGAGAGCATTATATATAGTGCCCCAACCCCTTCCTGGTCTCCCCCAAACTCCTCTCCCCAGCTCCTCTCACAAGACTGAGGCATCTGATCTGCCCCCTACCCTCTGGACCAAGTATCAACTCCTTATCCACCTTCAGGGCACCTCTCACCTCGGGGACCCAGGGTCTGCCCCCACCTCCTCATCTTTTGCTCCCCCCCCCCAACTCTCTTGCCTAAACTTTCATAAGGGGCTCTGGCTCAGGAGGTAACATCCCGGCTGGGGAACCCATAAACCAACCCCTTCCACCAACAGCTGCTGACCCGCGACGCGCACCCCAGCCTCACCTCTGCATGCGGGTCTAGGCAGCCCATGGTAGGGATGCGGCCCCCTCGACGTCTCCCCGCGCGGGCCCCAGGCTCTGCCAGCTTCTCCCGCAGCCCGCGACTGATCCGCACCTCCACCGCCAGCCGCACATTAGATCTCAGGCAGCGGCGGGGGCACGGCAGGCCGCAGCAAGGGCAGGCGGTGGCTGAAGCCTCGGCGCCGGTCGTCGGCGGGGTCCCCCAGCAGCGGGCCAGACACGCGCGGCAGAAGCTGTGCTCACACGCCAGAAGCACCGGGTCCTCGAAAGGGCCCCCGCACAGCGGACACGTCGCCAACTGCTCCAGACGCTCCACCAGCCCCGGGCCCAGCTCGGGAGCATCCATGAGGAGCCGGGGTCTGGACGCCTCCCCTTCCGCGACCACCGCGACCGCCTTCGAGCGCGCAGATGGTGGGCCGGCCTGGCTGCTTGCTGAATCGGTGCCCCTCTCTGCGTCTCCCTCATTAAGTTTTGCCGCTTTTCTGCCCCTCTCCTGGGATTGCCTCTTCCTCCACCAGAGTCTCAGTCTATCCGCGAATCTCCCCTCTACATCAGGCTTTATAGGGAGGGAGGAGGCTCCTGCTGGAGGTAAACATCAGGCCTTGCGTAACACCTCATCTGGTTCTCCCGCTTGCCGAGTAAGGTTTGAAGGGGGGAGATGGGGAGAATAGGACACCTCCGTCATCAAGCCTAGAAGGTGGCAATTAGTGGGCGCTTTGGGGACAAAGTAGTCCTGTGTGGGAAGGGTAGCCCACTACTACTCCCTTCAAGAACCCGAATTTTACCTTCCCCTAGGCCTGTGGTGTGCCTGCAGGTGGGCAGAGTGCCCGGGCTCGCTCTTGGCATGCGTGCCCACATCGCCAGGGTGTGAGTCATTCCAGGTGGCTGGCACACCTACTCTGAGGGCTGGGGGCCGGAAGCACGGATCCTGGTTCGTGTGGCTTTGGCAAGCCTTTGAGTGTTGGTGTGCGGCTGTCATTCCTGGAGCCTATTGCCTTTCCATCTTCCTTACCTATTAAGGGCTTAAGTACACTCTGAAGCTTTGGGGTAAGGGCTGGGGAGCAGGCGCCCACGCTCTTGCCTCAAGGAGTAGATAGAGGTAGGGCTCTCTCAGCTCTACCTCTGGCTAGCTCTCACCCCTCTCATTACTTTCTTCCTAAGTCTCTCTTCCTGGCTTTTTCCCTCTATTTTTCCCTCTGTGTGTGTTTTTATTTCCTTTTTTTTTTCCTTTCTCTCCTTCTTCAGAATGTACCCAAGGATTATCTATTTCCACTCTCCTTGTTTACTGAGGTAAAAAAAGCTGGAATTGCCAAGGTCACATAGAAAGGAAATGACCAGACCAGAAGTGGAGGCATACATAGATCTTCTTCTGACTTGTCCCCATACTGTGACTCAACCTGCCTCTTTTTTTTTTTTTTTCATTGTAGATCCCTGGAACTCTGTCCTGGTTTCTGCTTTCTGATTTTTTCTGATGTTCTCTTCTTCCTTTGCCTCCATCTCACTCTTTTCCTCCTCCTCCTCTCCTCCTCTTCCCCTTTCCTTCTCTTCCTCCCCCCTCCCTTCTCTTCCTGGCTCCTCTCCCATACCAAGCCTACTGTCTGGATATCCATGGGGGGGG